ATTTTATTTATTTTCGTTTCAATTAAAACGTTTATGCTTGATTTATTTATTGATATGAGTGAGCGTATGCGTGTATGTGTGTGTCTGTCTATGAGTTTGTGCATATGTATGTATGTGTGTGTGTGTGTGTGTTTGGCTCTGATAATTGCTGTAATTGCTGCATATAAATTAATTTATGTCACAGCTTGCGCTCTCAATTTGCTGTGGTTCTTGCACTTGTACCTTATTTAACTGCTGTTATGCCCGCTCACAGGGCAACAGGCGAGCATATTCGTTGCGTTCCCCTCTGTATGCATGCAAATGATATCCCGACTAAAAACATATACAGTAGATAGATATATATATGGCCGTTGCGAGGGTAGCGTATCATGGACAACTGTATTCCCTACAATATATCACATGGAAGTTTCGATATATACATCCAATTCAGTTGCGATATATCGGAAGAGACCCATATTTTCGTCAGTTTTAAAGCTAAATTCAATTTGTACATATGATTTCGAGCTGGAGACCTTCACAGATAGACCTCGAGACCATTATAATATATAAATTTTTAATTAACTGTGCACCCTGGACGAGTATTACGCAGTCGTTGCCCAAGTGCGACTGAAACGCTCGTTGACGTTGCCCGTGTCGCTGTTTGTTTTCATTTATCCGAATGTGCGGCGAATATTGCATGGATATTTTTGAAAAATGATTGCGATTGCATGGCCGCTGTCCATTATCTAACTGTCAATTCGAAACGAAATAATTGCCAATGCGAGAGGCGGACAATGGGGCGTGACGGCGGAAGGGTGCCAGAGGGGGTGCGCCCGGCGGCGTAAACGGTATTCATTAACCGCACTAAAGTTGACTATGACAAATTGTAAGTGTATAAGTGTATGTATGTATGTGTGTGTGTGTGTGTGTGTGTGTGTGTGTGTGTGTGTGTGTGTGTGTGTGTGTGTGTGTGTGTATTTGTTTGTTGAAATCTAATTAATTGGGCATTGAAAGGGAATGGGAGAACGACAGAACAAATGGGAAGGGGATATAAAGAGGAAGAGAAAGTGAAAGAAAAAAATTAAGAGAAAGTGAAAAGATGATTGATGATTGAAATCAAAGGGAAAAAAGAAAGCGAAAGAGAAAGAGAAAATGTAAAAGAAAGCGAAATGAGAGAGGAAATAAAAATGAGAATGGAAATGACACATAGAGAAAGAAAAGGAAAGAGAACGAGATAGAGAGGAATGAAAAAACAAGATGAAAGAGAAATGAGAGAGTCAAAAATAAGCAGAGAAACAGAAAAGGATAGGCAGAGAATATGAAGCATAAAGAAAGCGAAAGAGGATGAGAGCGAATAAAGGGAAAAATGACAGGGTGATGGCAGAGAAAAAATAAGAAAGAAATATGAGTGAGAGGCAGAAAAACGGAGAAACACTGGCAAAGAAACGGAGAGAAGGAGAGCAACTAAGAGAGTGGAATAGACTTAAAGAGAGAGCTGAAAGAGAGTGATACAGTAAGAGAAAGATGCAACCGGTAGCGAGCGATGCTTAGGCGAAAAGGCAGCCAGCAGCAGGAAGCTAAAAGGAAGCTGTGAAATAGTTAACAAGTGTTGCACAGCCACTTTCAAATATTCAGCTGGAAATGCCCGGAAGGACAAATGCCACATGCCACTTGCCGCATGCCGCAAAAGTCTCACCCACTCACTCAGCAACCGCCTTCAACCGCACACAAAATATTGTTTGACGGCCAAGAATAAGATTGATAAATGCGGGGTAAAAAAAGTAAGAAAGTGAAGAGCTTGAGGTAGAGCAAGAAAAATGCGATGGAGAAGAAGATGCTGAGGAAAATAAAGAAGGTTAGGGTGAGGAAGAAAATGAAGGAGAAGAAGATGATGAAGCAGAAAAAGAAGAAGGTGAAGATGTAGGAGATTAAGATGATGAAGCAGAAAAAGAAGTTGAAGATGAAGAAGAAGAAGATGTAGACAAAGAAAAATATGAAAAAGACAAAGATGAAGATGAGGAAAGAAAAGAATATGAAGAACACGAAAATCGAGAAAAATAAACATATGAGCAAAGAAGTAGATGATGAAGATGTAGAGGAAGAAGAAGAAGGTGTAGGTGAAAATAGAAGATGAAGAAAACAAAGATGAAGAACGCGAAAATTATGACAAAGATGAAGAAGATGATTAAGAAGAAGGCTAAAAAAAGAATATGAAAAGAGAATATAGAAAGAGCCGTAGAATAAGAAGAAGAGAAAGACAAAGGTAAGAAGGAAGACGATTTAGAGAAAGTTTATTTTAGCATAAAGATGAATATTAAATACAAGAAAAGTAAGCAAACAGATAAGAGAAGATAGATAGACTTCGATTTGGCTTGCTTTCGACAATGGATCAGCACGTATGCTACTAGTTAGGACCACTTAGAAAATGTCCATGGAGGTGCACTAAAAATACAAAGAGGAAAAGAATAGTAAAGCAAGAAGTAAGCGTTGCATGCGGCTCATAAATGTTTTCTTAGCCAAACTGGAGCAAGCTGCTTGTGCAAGCTGGCCATGGAGATATAATTAAACAGCAGAAATAGATGCATTTAGCCATGGCCAAAATAGCTGTTGGCATTGCAGTGCGCTCTATTAACTGTGCCCCGGCCAGCAGCCCCAAACACTTTTCACCGAAAACGCAAACATTTTGAGAGCTTTGA